ATATAATAGTTAAGACCACACTCTGTGAGGTGCTGGGAACACACACACACACACACACACACACACACGCACGCACACACACACACACACACACACACACACACACACACACACACACACACACACTGTTTAACCAAAGACAATACAACTATGCAGTTAAAAGGAAATGTGCAAAATATTGAAATACATAAACATTTTGTATTCACCAATACAATTTACACCAAAAGTTAGTTCCGGTACTCTAACCTGTGGTGTTCCCGGTCAAAAATGATCAGCCTTTTTAAAATTGCTCATAAATTTCTTGTTATGCTATGTTATTACCAAATATTGCATGTAATCTTTTTGTTTTCTTTCAGTTAAAACAGGTTTAGTACTTAATTTTGAAACTGATTGTTCGTAGGCCTCACCGATCTGAGCCTGACTGATCAGATGATAAAATTAATCTCTGTGAAAAGGAAAGCCTGTAATACTCAAAAACGTTTACTTGTGTACATGAACGTGTGTTTGTGCACGTGTTAGTGTGAGTATGCATGTATTCATGCATGCACAGGTCTGAGGCCTATGTTTGCAAGCACACATGCACATAATGTGAACATGAACATTATGAACATGCTCCTGAACACTAAATGTTTCTCTTATTTTCGATCTCCCCCATTCATTTTCAGTGAATAGTCCAATGTTTGACCAATGTAAGCTCAGATCAATGAGGGTTATGAGTCAGTTTTAAAGTCAGTTTAAAAAAATAAATACAAAACCTGCCCTAATTGAAAGAAAACAAGTTGACAAAAAGACTGAATCCAATATTTGGTGATCCTATAGCATATAGGCTATAAATCTATAATATAGCATATTATAGACCAGGGGTGGCGAACTCCGGCCCTGCAGAGTTCAGCTCCAACCCTAATTAAAACTCAGCTGGCTGTAGCTTCCTAGTAACCGTTCAGACCTTGATTAGCTTGTTCAGGTGTGTTTGATTAGGGTTGAAGCAAAACTCTGCAGGGCTGCGGCTCTCCAGGACCGACGTTTGCCACCCCTGTTATAGACTTATAGGCTATTTTTTGTAGGCCGGTCATTTTTGACAGCTGTGACTTTTGTGCAAGATAAAAGCATTTCGGAACAAACTTCCTGGTTAAACATTAAAGCATGCTAATATGATATTTTGAAGATTTTGAAGATTTTTGTTGGAGAAAAGTTCAGGAAATGCCTATTAGGTGTGTTTTCAAAATATCTTGGATGTGTGAAGACTTACCAATTGACAAACTTCCAACATGACTATTTCTCCTATCAAAAGTACACAAGTTTAGGTTAGAAAAGTTTTTTTTAATGCACTAAGAAAAACATCAGTTTCAGAATATTTTTGGTGCTGTTTTTTTGTTTTGTAAATATGGGCTTATCATTTAAGGTTCATGCATCATTTATCATTTATTCATGCATTGCACCATATAATGCAATCTACCATTTGTTGATTTAATGATAGTAATACATATATACATACTGTCAGGATTATGGACCTGTTGTGTTGTGTTTTCCCTCCCCATGTGCTTCCCGACCTAGTTTCTCCCCTGTTTCATGACCTTATTTGGTCCTTCCTGTTCGCATTGTTTCCCATTTGATTCAGCTGTGTTTCCTCAATTATCTCATTTGGTTCTTAGTATTTAAGCCCTGTGTTTGCCTGTGTTCCCTGTCCGGTATTGTGAATGTCTTCTTGAATGTAAACGTCTCCTGCATCTCTGCGTTCTCTTTGCCCCACGTTCCTCACAGTATAGCGCAGTCATGACAGAATACCAGACCTACAACAGTAAAACAAAAAGTAGTTGCGTGTTTTCCCCTCCGTTTTGTTTCCGTGTTTTGTTCAGTGTTATTTTTTCCTCCCGCTGTTTCCCTATGGATCCTCTCACTCGCCTGGAATACCACCTCCTCCTCCTGCTGGATCAGGGGGAAAGATCGCTCGAGGACCATACCAGACTTTTTCTGGCCCTCACCCATCTCACCAGCTACCCGGACGACGCCATGGCCTCCTGAGCTCCCTGCTCCGCCATGGCCCCCTGAACTGCCTGATCCGCCCTGGAGGCCTTCCTTGTCTCTAGCCTGCACCAGCCTCCAGGACGTCCAGGATGAACTTCTGTTCCCTGATATCTAAGGTGACAAGTGCAGAAATGGAAAGCTTTGTCCCACGTCCTGTAAGACAAAAGCAGTGTCCTACAATTTTTTTTCTGTATTATTATTATTTCGGTTTAATTTTATTTCATCCTCCCAATAAAACCAACAAAGTTAATAAAAAACAACAACAATAATAATAAAAAATAACTTGTGCAGTGCAGCCATTATTGTGTTATGCCAAAATGGGATATGGGTTTCTTTTTTATTATTTATTTATTCTATTCTTTTCTTTTGACGCTTAAAATTGGCAGCTTGAATGAATCACCAAGGACAATGGTTTCACCTAAAAATCTTCTTTACTGTTCTACTGAAGAAAAAAAAGTCACCTACCGCTTGGATGGCCTGAGGGAAAGTAAATTAACAGCAAATTTTCATTTTTGGATGAACTATCCATTTAAACCTCTTTACGACAGTAATTGTATGTCTAAAGTACAGTCATCTGCAGCTGATCTTCTTCTTTATAAATCTCTTTCTTTAGCAAGGCACAAGCGCTTTTAAAAAAAGACTATTTAAATAGCTGAAAGAGAATTAGTTTAACAAGAGTCAAGAGTTAAGTCCCACTATAGTAACCATATTACCATAATAGTGACTTCAACCCATTCTTCAATAAAACATCAAGTCAAACTTGTTTGTAATAAGTGAAAATGGTAATGCTGTTTTTGGAGCTGCTGAGTCAACCTGTGGTAAGAACTTGAGAGATTTAATGTGCTCTTTTATTTGTAGTTGATTCTTTTTATGGATGGATCCATGACTGATTCTGTATTTGGCTCATTTTTGGGGTTTCTGGATAAAACTGGTGCTGATGTGGTTTAAGGCTAAGATTCGGTACCACTATTAAAACTTATTCTGGCCTAGCTCAAGGCTGGTTATTGGTAATTTATGTGTACCGTCGAATGTGTCTTTCAAAGTATACTTCATTTGATAGCGTGTGTGAATGCAGGCGGTCGACATATGTGCTCTGTAAAGTTTTATCTTTGTCCAGTGCCTTGCACTATTTTTCTCCAGAATTTATGACCGAAACATATCTTTGATAAAGATTGTCATCTAAAATCGTCAAAAATCTCAAAACCTTCTCTCACACAAGTGCTTGTCAGTGCGGGTGTCTCATAGTCACTGGTATTTTGTTTTTGTTGTCCTTCTGTCTTTTTAGTTTAATTTTCCTCTGTGACACTACGGCCAGGGCCAGTGTTGCCACTTTATGGAACAACCTTGTGGTACAAATTTATGCATGGTACAGTACGTGCAAACTATTCTGGATGATAACATTGTACGCGGACCGTATGTGACATTGTATGCACTGTACGTGGACACTTACATGTAAAAAAACAAATATACTTTGGGCTTTATCCTAAGTGTTACATTATGGCAAGTGACTTGTCCTACACATTTATGCTATAGATGAAACTCAAATCATGTGTCTTGTTGAGAGAAGGTGAAGACTTCAGCAACGTGTCAACAAGTTTTATATATGAGCAAGCTCCATTTAAATATTGAAGCTACTTCAAATGTAAAAATCTAGTTACATTTTTTACAATTTTTTACATTTGCTACTATTAAGTCTAACACATCTCCAATGGTTTCATGTTTTCTGTTTTAGTGTCTTACTCATTCAGATGGTGCACATCCAAATCATTATGTAATGATAAAACATTTGGAGAAAACTAGAGTCCATCTTACTATAAGATGTTTCAGGTTATACAGACTATGGATATCGTTTTTAAAAGCACTTTTAAGTGGTTGGGTGTTTGCAGAGTGTGTAAAACCACATGCTAACACATTGCTCAGCTGTTCTGAGTACACGTGCAATGCTGAGCGTGTTTTTCTTTAAACTGGTTATTTATTGGCATAGGATTATTTTTTATTTTGCTCCATTAAAGCACTATGAAGTTCATATTGCAGTGCTGCAACATTGTTTTTTTCATTCACATATAAAAAGACAGAATATAGATGCATAGCAATGTAATTTCCTCTAAACTGTTGTCGAAACATGGTGGGAGCCAATAGAGTCATTGCTATTGCAGCCGATATGAAACTACTTCTGCAATCTGCAAAGCCCCTACCCCAGTTTACCTATACAGAGGAAGTGCCACAAACCAATAGCCTGAGAAAAGAAAAGAAAAAAAAAACCCTATAACAGATCTTGTTTTTTTTTGACCGATCTCATATAATACGATCTTATCTCATCTCATCTCAACTTCCCGTCTTTGCTCGGAAGGTCAGGGGGCAACATCAATTATCACACTTGTGAGTATTCCTGGCAAGCAAATTATTGATTTAAAATATTTTTAAAATAGTGTTCATTTATATGCCTTTAATATGCCTGGAGGGCACTTTAAATATGAGCCCTAACCCCTACTTTTGCAGCAAGCACCTTTTGTATCAGATTGAAATGGTTATGGTTTCACACTTTGGTTGGCAAACCAGCTGTTGGAAACATTCAATGTCACAGAATAAGTCTGAATGTCACGGGTGGTTTCCACCACAGATCGAAGCTCATAGTGCCCATAGGTATGTGACATTTTCTGTTATGCTAATAAATAATTCATAAGACTTTATTGATTATATTTAAAAAGTGGTAGGGTGACTTTGGTATTTCCACAGAATACTAATGAAGATTTTCGAAACATCTAAAATAACATTTTAAATAAAACATAAAATTGCTCATCACAAGAAGGCATGTTTTTATGTGGGGGATAAAAGGCTAATAAAATGATAAAGATATTAAAAATAAATTTTATTCATTGTCATTCATTTGATGTGGCTCAAATGAACAAGAATGCATGCTTTTGTGTGCGCGTATATATCTATATTTCTGAGGAGGCATATTTAAGGCATATTGTTTGTAAAGGTGCTATGAAACAATACATATATTTTGTGTTTTTAAGTACAATATATATTTAAGGGCTGTACAGATACACTGAATTTAATAAAGTGTCCCCACTTCGACGTTTATCAAAGAGAGATGCCTAAATGTTACTGATTCATGATATATATATACTATATATATATATATATATATATATATATATATATATATTTGTCTATTAATGCAAAAAGCAGTTGCATATTGTCGCATAAAGCACTCACATATTGTAATACTTTTTTTTTTACTAATGACTTGAAGATGTGGCATTATGCTAAAACTCTGTTTCCCTGTTTGTCTAACCCAGTTAGTACACCTCTGGGTTCTGATTATGAATTCTACAGCTGCGTTGCTGAGGTAAGACCAAACATCATCTCCAAATGTAGTTCAAACCGCAGAAAAAGAGCACTGAGAAAATGGAACATTGGAGAAAACTGAATGAACATACATCAGTCTATACATACACAAGTTATTCTGTTTTCAAACCTATAGATTTCTTAATGAAAGGCTGGTCACATGAACCAATCAAGATATAAGATAGACATGTCATTCATTTCTTTTTAGTGTGGGTCGGCAGAAGATGGAAGCCACAACATTGTCCAGGTGAGGTCATATCACATTTATTAGTCACAGTTGGAGGAGGAAACTTATACATATTGCTTATAGTATATTTTCTTTTCTTGTTCAAGTGTGAATGGACAAGTTACAGATGCTACAACTAATGAAACAAATACAGAAGACTATAGTGACTACTATGATCGAAATGCTGATTTGTCTGGATTTTCCTGTGGTTATGGAGATCACGGAGCTAGCATTCTTCCTGTGCTATACTCCCTGTTTTTTGTGGTGGGCTTTCTGGGTAACATACTGGTGATCTGGGTGGTTTTGATGGGTGTGAAGCTGAGAAGTATGACTGACATCTGTCTGCTGAACCTGGCTATTGCTGACCTGCTCTTGGTCTGCTCCCTCCCCTTCCTGGCACACTATGCCAGAGACCAGTGGATCTTTGGAGATTTTATGTGCACTGTGGTCCTCAGTTTCTACCACATTGGATTCTATAGTGGGATATTCTTTATTGTACTGATGAGTGTTGATAGGTACTTAGCTGTAGTTCATGCTGTGTTTGCCCTGAGAGTCAGAACAAGGAGATATGGGATCTTAGCCAGTGTGGTCATATGGATTATTGCAGTTTCTGCATCCTTTCCTGAGTTGATACAACTCAAAACCACAGATCACAACAAAACTAAAATATGCATGTCTTATCAAGCAAATAATCAAGAGTCTTATCATACCGCAAAGGTAACTGGTATCTTTAAAATGAACATCATTGGTTTATTTCTTCCACTTTTCGTGATTGGATATTGCTACTCGATGATCTTAAAGAGACTCCTGACAGCCCGCTCTTCCAGGAGGCAGGCCATGCGTCTTGTCATCACAGTGATGGTGGTCTTCTTTTTCTGTTGGGCTCCATACAATATTGCCGCTTTTGTAAAAGCTTTAGAGATTAAGCAACTTTTAACTTCATCTTGTGAGAGCAGTAAGGCAATCAGTCTAAGTCTGCAGATCACAGAAGCTTTGGCTTACTCACACAGCTGTGTGAATCCCTTTATTTATGTGTTTGTGGGAGAGAAATTTAGGAAGCAACTTTTTAGGCTCCTGAATAAGACACCATTCAGTAGACTGCAGTTTATGAAGAGTTACATTATACAAGCCACAGGATCTGTTTACTCACAGACCACTAGTGTGGAAGAGAGATCAGCTACAGCTGTCTGAACATAATATTATTTAGAATAGAGAATACAGACAACAATAAATAAATAAGTACATAAACAAACAATCAATCAATTAATAAATACATATAGGATTTACTTGCATTGAGAAGAAACCCCTAATGCATTTACTGACAAATGTTTGTAGATGAGCAGTTTGAGTGGAAGATTAATTGGAAAGTATGTACACGAGGCCACGGTTTGAACATTGAACTATTAAAATGAAAAACACAGATCATACAATGTAATTTACAAGCCTTATAGTGTTATTTGTGTATATATCTGTAAATGTTTTTTTTTTTTTCATACTTTTTGCTTGTTTTCTAGCAACTATATGTGCTTTGTATGTTACATATAAATACATACATATATATATATATATATACACACACATGAATATTCATGAATTGCACTGTTGCTGTTTTTTTTGTTTACTAAAATGATAACTATATGAATTATATTTTGTAAGAATACATAGCTTCAATAAAAATGTATGTAAGTGTGTGGCTCACATTGCAGAGTGATAATTTTACTCCAGTGATAACAGCAAGAAGGTCAGATGGTAACACTTTAACACAACAAGGACCCATTAGTAAACGTAAGTACATGCATTAACTATTAAATTAACAATGAGCAATACATTTGTTACAGTTTTTATCATGATTTGGTAGCATGTGTTAAAACACACACACACACACACACACACATT